CCATGTGGTGGGCTGCATCCCCAGAACATGAGCAGCAGTCGAGGGAGTGGATTCTCCCCCCTGTGCTGTGCTCTGGGGAGACCCCCCCTGCAGTCCTGATCCAGCTCTGGGGCAACAGCACAAGAGGGAATTGGAGCTGTTGGAGCAAGTCCTTGGAGATCTTGGGCAGAAGCTCTTCCCTGTGAGGGTGCTGAGGAGCTGGCACAGGGTGCCCAGAGGAGCTGTGGCTGCCCCATCCCTGGCGGTTCAAGGCCAGGTTGGACACAGGGGCTTGGAGCAAACTGCTCTAGTGGAAGGTGTGCCTGCCCAAGGCAGGGGTTGGAACTGGATGAGCTTTAAGGTCCCTTCCAACCTAAACCATTCCATAAGTCTGTGATTATTGGGCACTAGTTACAGTATTTGATATCTGAATACCTGTGTAACACCAGAGTGATTGAAAGTGGTTGAAGCCATCATACAGTCTTCCACAACACAGAGTAAGAGAGAGAATGTGAAGCCTTCAGTTTGCATTCCACTTTTGTAAATCCATAAAAAGTCTGTATTTGAAGTGTAGAAAAGGTTGACATTTATGATTATTTGCTAAAGGGCAAATAGCCATACACTATTACACACATGTATGATTAACCATAATCCATTCTGTTTATTTTGGATGATCTCATAAAGGGTAGATTATATATTTTTATTTTAAAGCAATCACAAATATTTTAAAGATTTTTATTTTTTTGTTATTAATAAGGTTTTTTGTCACAGTGCTTTGCACAAACTACTGTTATTTTTTATTTATTTTTGTATAGGAAAACTAAGTTTTTAAAACTGAAAGTTTCTGTTGGGTTATAAATGGTACATTCAAGAAACACAAAATTCCCACAATCACTGTGCAGAACTCCAGTAGACACCCTATGAAGTACAGAGGATTATCAAGATCAAAATGGAGTATTAATAGAGGTGGAATGGAAAATTAATTTCTCCTCCCTTTGTAATTTGCTGTCATACATGGAAGGACAGGAGTCACTTTGCATTGACACACTATTTCTGGAGTCAGGCTGCCTGTCAGCTGGTAAGTGCTGATGCAAAGGTAACTGATCTTGGGAAAAACATGGGTCCATAATAGGCATAAATGAACACCTCTGAGTGGAAGTTTAAAATAGATGCATCTGATACCTTGTTTGTGTTGCAGACTTTCAAGTCCACAACAACCTTGATGTGAAAGTGATGTGAATTTCTAGGAATATATGAGCTCCGTTCCCTTTCCTATCATCAGAGTTAGGTGAACAATCTCAGTTCCACAGAAAGTATTTTTCCTTGAGGGATTTAAGTGCTGTAAGACCAACTAGTGAAACTGCTTTAACCCGAGTAATCTGATGCCCAGGAATAAACTATATCTGACTCCTGAGAGGTAATTTAAGGTTTGATGATATGGCAGGGTTTTTTCACAGTGGGGAATGTTCACCGTTTGCACATGCTGTTGGGCTCTTTCAAAATAAAAAGGGTACTAGTATGTATAATATTATTTAAGCAGTGGTGAGTGGAGGTTTGCAATCTTTAAAGCCAAATGTATAATTTCACACAAAAGAGTGGAAGTAAATGTCTCAGAAATGTCTGCAGAAAATATCTACCAGCCTTGGGGCATATTCTGTGGTTTTCCACCCATTTCATACCCATTGCCTGAGTACCTCAATTCCTGTCTCACTGGGTACTGAAAGAGTGCCTTGGGAATCCATTTGCCAAATCTTTCTTTATCTTTTCACTGCAGGAGAGGCAAGCAGGCAGGTGTCTGGTGCCTCCTCACACCCTAGGTCCTTGTGAGCCAAAAGAAATGGCTGAAAACAGCAAAATAAGGGAAAGCAGAGCTACTGGTGGGGACTAGGAAGATGCTCCTGGAAGAGCTGAGGGAGTGCATGCACTGGGCAGCGCATGACAAGATACTTTACAAGCAGGTTACTCCTTGAGATACAGGTAGTCTGCAATCAGCTATGAAGCAAAGAGCAGTGAGATCATGATCCTTCTCACAGTGCCAGCCTAAGCACCGAGGAAGGGTATGCTGTTCAGAAGCAGTTTGGGAAGTCTTGGGTGGGGTGGAAAACAGAGTCAGTGACTGACTGGTCATTAAAAGAATTTATTTGGGAAGAAATACTGCTCTCTGACCAAGGTGAGTGTTAGTGCTTTCACACACTACTTGAATCATAGATTCACAGAATCACAGATTAGTTAGGGTTGGAAAGGACCTTAAGATACCCAGTTCCAACCCCGCTGCCATGGGCAGGGATACCTCACACTAGACCATGTTGCCCAGCTTTCCTTTTACTCACTTCCCTATTGCTTTTTGGCTCCTGCCTCCTGGTCCCTACTGCACACCCCTGTCTCCCTGTCTCTCCTATTCCACCTCATTCATTTGCTCTCTTACTGAAGCCTGATAGCTGCTGCAGTTTGCCGCAGAGAGCGCTGTCAGTGTTACACTTGTGTCACAACATACACTTCTGAGATCTCTCCTCTCTCTGGTGGGAAGGTAGGATTGCTGTGATGGAACGTGAAGCTCTAACATGCTGCCACTTGGCATTATACAATCAATACTCCATTCTGGGACATGTGTGGACCCCTGATGAACCATGTGACAGGGAACGTCCAGCCCCTGCTGCAACAGCATTTCTGCTTCTTTCTGTGAAAAATGAGACCTAATCGGTTGCTCTTCATCTTGTGTGACTTAATGTTTATTTGTAGTTTGAATAGCTCTAACTTGTCTTTATGGGGTTACATCTTTTATCTGAAGGAACAGTTTAAATTAATTTTTCCAGTGTCACTTTCTCAGTACTGCCTTCTGGTATGTCGGCGGCCTCTTAAATTATGGGACCACCTGAAAATTCGCAGTGAAAAACTCTGTATATATAACGGCAATGCTCATCTCAAATCATTGCTGCTCAGCACAGTACATTCTTTCATTTTGATACTGACCGTGTGATTACTACTCTTTCAGCAAAGAGCATTTCCTTAGTATTTTGATCTTAATCTTTATGCCTCCAGAATGCCTGTATGTTCTAAGGAAATATCAGGACTTCTCAGAAGTTTTACTTAAATTACTGTTTTTCTTCTATCCTGAGAGCATCTCAAAATGTCACAGAACATTTCGGGGTGGTTTGTTTTTGGCAGATCACTGTAGGCTACTATTCAAAAAGCAAATGGTTAAAAATTGTCACTGGTCTTATGAATGACAAGAGAATAATATTAATATTAGATTTGGAGCCCAGAACTAACTGAATCCTGTAATTTCACAAATGTAGAAAGGCAAATGATGCAGCAAAATGGCAAAGTCTGAGAAGGTTTCCATGTATATTAAAATGTGCAAGCAACTCTTATGGGTGCTTGCACACCATAATGCCTCATTCATAATGACTGAGTCATTAGAGTCTCCCTTCCTCCCTGAAGGGTAGTAAAGAAGCACATGGAACAACAGAGATCTACAGAAAAAAGGTTGGAAAGGGATTGCAAACCAGAACTTTAACTTCTGAAACAATATTAGATGATAAAAAATAGCTAAGGATACTTAGTTGAGATGACCTTCAGAGTTTAAGTCCTGCATTATATTTTTTCATCTTTTTCCGTTACTGCAGTCATGCAATTGATGCACATTTAAAACCTAGATATCTTTACTCTGAGTGCCTCTGGCTTCTTCTTATCCAGCCTATGTCTTCTGCTTTCTTGCAGCCTGTGGCTCCAGCTGGAAGACAGCAGCTTCTCTGTCAGTTCTGCTGCTGGTACTGAAGGCACAGGCACATTCCTGCGAAGCAGCAAATGTGGCTGTGATCCCTTGCAGCCCGAGAGACTATTTGTGCCATTTTGTGATCATGTGAATCTGTCAAACTGGCAGTCAACTATAGCAAAAAAACCCACAACTCAGCTGGATTGAAAAATAGGCAAACCATGTTCATCATAGAGTGATCTCAATAAAACAAGAAGTGATGAGATAGTGGAGACAGAATCGCTTATGTGGAATGAGTGCAGCTCAAAATTATTGAAATGATCAAGAGAACAGATGAACTATTTTATGGTGAGTGGCTTGAAAAGATTGGGTTTGTTAATCCAGTGAGATGAAGCTGATACAAGATGGATGTTTGTATAAGTGAACTGAGGAGAGAAAACCATAAAGGGAAAGAATTTCTTTAGGTCAAAAGAAAATACTAGTAGTAAATGAATGGTTGTAAAGAGACCATATGCTAACCCATTTTGAGAATTAAAGGTCAATTTCTGGTCCTCAAACACCTCTATGTTAGATCCATCTTTTGAGAATCTTAGAGGTAAACAAATAAATTCTGTAGAATTTGAGAATTTGAAAGATGCCATCAAATCCTGGTCACTGCAGTGGTGAGCTCCATATTATAAATTTTTCTCCAGCCTTGTACTGTTCTTCATTATAAATGGTAGTAATGTGGGACATGATGAGATTGCAGAATTGATTTTAAGACACGTTGATTGATACAGACAGACTGGGAAGGTGTTTACTTCTGTGTTCCTATCCTGCTGTTTAAAAGCACTCTTGCTTTCAATTCAAAGCTCAAAATTACTCATTTGATCCCAGCTGGACCGTCAGGAGTACAATGTCCTTCTGCTCAGGACATTTTGGCAGTATCATGGATAGCAAATGAATGACAGGAATATTTGTCAAGTTTCTTTATCTGTCCAGATTAGTAGAGCACAAACTGTATTATTATTAGGTAGACAAATTGATATGCCAAAATGCCCACTCAGCAATAGTAATCTGTAAAGAACAAAAATAATTTTACATGACGTGCCAAACATTCCTCACCATCAAAGAGAGAATGCGCATCCCCTGTAAATACTGAATTTAGAACAAGAGGTGGGAATATTGCACTGACTCTTGGTGACTTTTCATCTTCTAAAATGACTGAATCCTCTTTCCAGAATTTCTATAGCACGTCATTACATTTTTTCACCTCCCTGTACTCTCTGGCACCCACCTGCAGTTCTCTTCTGGATGAGCTGCTTGCTGGAGGTTATACAATTCTGTGCTATGGGAAGACTTCATTCATGCCACATTGTACTTGCTGATTATGACACTAAAAGGGGAAGCACATTCTGCCTGCACATGCCTAACACTTTGTTGGCCTGCATCAGAAGAGCCATGAATGCTCTGCGTAAGACAGAAGCCAAACTTCCTTGTTATGCAGATAATCCAGTTTAGTAGATGTCATTCCAATCAGGCTCTTCCCAAACAATCCAAGAAGCCATTGAATGTGTGGATTGTTTCCTGGGTGTGTTAACAAGCCCTTTGCTGCAAGACTGCCTCTGGCAGGACTGCCACGTGGGCATCTCATCTAAGGACATGAAGGGACTGCTGCTCTGGCAAGGCTGAACTGATAGAATCTCAGCACCTTCCTGTGAGATAAGTGCAAGACACCATCATACAGCTATGGGGAAACCTACAACAGGGTTGTCCTGCCATGGCAGGGGACCAGAATTTTGCCACAGAAGGAGGAGAAGGAGGAAAAAGACTGTCAGACTGACACAAGTTCAGTGATGTTTTCATACTCTGGAGTGGGTGTGTTACTGGTGCACTGCACCAGAGCAGCAAAGCAGCTCTAGGCCTCCTCTCTGGCCCAGTTTTGCCTTCCTTCCATCCCTACCCCCCATGGGCATGTTGATGCTGTTATACCCCAGGGCTGACTGTGCCATGCTGTGGCAGTGAGGTTTCAGGCTTTCCCACTTCTCCCTGTTCAGTGGGTCTGGGATGACAGCAGAAGAGGGCACAGGAGGGCGTGGTGTGGGGAGCCAGAGTACTTCTGCAAGGTTTCTTCTTGTCTCCTTCACGCTGCTATGAGCACATGTCCCTACAGGACAGCTTTCCCAAGCCACACCCCCACTCACTGTCTCCTTTTCCCAAAAGCTCTGGAACTGCTTAGTAATGCTGCAGTGGATGGAGGACAGGACACATGCAAACATGGAGCATATTGCTGTGTGAAATTTTCCATGGAAAAACTCAGGAACTCCCCTGAAACTTTGCTGACACAGTGCCTGTTACAGTCTTTGATACTGAAAACGGAGGGAGCAGAGATGCTGCTGCAGACATTTCTCAAGGGAACCTGTGATGTCCCCAACACATGATGATCCTAATTTCCTAAGGAACTCTGATGCCATGTAGGAGGCCACTCTCCAGGTGAATTTCATGGAGACCAGGGAAAGGGAGCATATCTACTACCTCACTGCTGCTGCAAAGAAGAAAATGAGTCCATCCCCCTCCATGGAAAACCAGCAGGAAGCCTTTCTTCATATCAGCCTAGGCAGGTTTTCACCCCCCTGACATGAAGGAACCTGTTTTCCTACAAAAAAGAGAAGTGAGTATTTGGATGAATTTACTTGGCAATAAATACAGTGAGGCCTGGGAAGATGAAACAGGGTGAATCCTGGCATTTGCATTCAGAAACATTCACGGCTCTCTCAGGAAAATGTCACCACTCTGTATTCTGCAGAGATCTCTTTCCAGGAAGAGTCCAAGCTCTGCACAGCCACCAGAGGACCGACACAGAAGTAAAATATTAGAGGTTCATCAACAGTGTGTGGGCATACGTGGGTGTACTTTCATTTATCCATGAATGCAATTTCCCAAACATAGAGAGAAATAATTATTTTGGATGAATTTGTGATGCCTTGAATTGTACAGATCCTTGTGGTTTGTTATAGGCACAGATCCTATGTTCTGTGCAGCTGACAGAGCCAAATCCTACCCTCGCTCTCCAGAGAGTTTGAACCTCACCCTCAAATTTTAAGATGTCAGTGAAGAATGGGATCCACGTTGCTAAAACCCAGCCGCAAGGAGTAATGATATTAACATCCATGTCTGGCCTGGGATCCTTAGGGATGTATCATTGACGGAGTTGCTCAGGCCAAGACAGTGCAGATGTCCATATCATATTAGATGTCACTCAGTCCTTTCAAACCAGCAACACAAATCTGAAAATGCTACTTGCACAGTTCATGTGTGCTGGAATAGGATCTGCCCTCTGTCTCATTTTAGCTTGGTCAAAAAACCCCGAGGCACTGGAGAGGATGTTTACAGACCCAGAGGGTGCCTGCACTATAAGAATCATTCTTTGGAGACCATTTATTGTCACATATAATTATTCTGCAAACCCTCAGCACCATTGGAGTGGCTACTGTATGTTTTCATTTGTTCAAGAAACTGCCACACAAATCCATGAGAGGAAAACCAGGTGGAGATCCCACCTGATCCTGATCCTACACACAACAAAGGCATCAGGACTGGGATGTGCCCAAGCTCAGAACACCTGGGGAATGGGGCAGTGATCAGGGAAAGCCTCAGCACATGTGTCTGTACCCTTACATACTGAGCTTTGTCAGCCTCAGACACCAGTGAGGCTCTCAGCCACTGCCAGGGAGACACTGCTCAAGGCTGGCCTTTGGACTGACCCAGACCATCTGCCATGTCCTGACATGCCTGTCACAACAAGCCAACACACAGCAGTAAGGCAGGTAGGTATGATGACTTGAATGTGTAGCAGCTGGACAGACACAGTCACCCTGCAACACGTTGTCTGTCTGGAGCTTAGCAGCAGTTCAATGAGCAGCTCCTTTATGGGATCAGTTGAAGCTCAAGGATATCTTTTCTCCTGTCAGGATAGGTTATAGATACCTGCCCCCTGGCAGTCACCTATTGCAAAGAATATATTTGTTATTTTAGGCACAGAGTGATCACCACAGTCCTCTCCCAGTTGTCTCAATAATCTTAGGTCTGTCCTTTCAGAAAGGAAGAGGTGGTTTTTGTTCTCTGACCTTCCTCTCACGCAACTCTTTGTTTTCTTGGGCATTGGCATTGTCATTTGCAAATATGGGAGCTCACTCATAGCTTTGGTTTTGCTGAGTGGGGACATTAAACAGGAACCTCAGCAGTGATCTCCAGAAGCGGACTCAAGCTTTGCTCACAGACAAGAGCTGATGGGAGAGTTATGCAGGTTTATTTACAGTGCTTGTTCCCACCTCAGCCTTTGCCCTGCAATAGTAAACCTTTGCTAAGCTGAACTCTTCCAGGCTTATCCCTCGGAGGAGCTTCTCTGTTCCCCTGTGGTCTCACCAATTCTCTTGGCACCATGTAAACCTTGAGTCAGTAATGTCTGAATGCGTATGGCTGGGACAGTTCAGAATACTTCAAAGCAGGTGTCTCCAGAGCTTTATACAGAGGAATCAATGCTCCCCTAACAGATTCCAAAGTACCACTGTGGTGCAGCCAGTGTCACTGTGTCTTTTCAGGAAACCCATGGAACACCTCATTTCCCCTAATGCTCCAATCTCTTATTTTCAGTCATTCTAGAACTAGAGTTTTAATTTTTGTGCCACTAAATCACCAGCAGAAGTCCTAACCATCTGGGACCGCACAGACTGCACTGCACTCCTAAGGATTATTTGTGTGCAACTGCAGCATCCTGGTAAATATCACAGGAAGGGGGATAAGAATTTATCACTTGTCGCAATTATTCTGACCAAAGGAGTCAGATGGGGAATAGCGGAAGATACAAAGGCAAATTGTTGCCCTCTACTTGGTGGTGGTTTGTAGCCAGGTAATGTGCTCTAGGTCATTCACCATTTTTGTAGCCCTTCAGTAGACCCTGTTAGGTGCTTCTACATCCCTCTTAAACTGCAAAGCACCAAACATAACAGTGTATTCCTGGTGTGACTGCATCAACCCCAAGTACAGGACAGAAAGTGACTTCTTTCACTCTGTTGGACATGTTCATGATGCAGCCCACTAAGGCATTTGCTTCCTCACAGTGAGAAAGCAGCACTGGCTTACAGTCAAACTAACATCTTCCAAAATGCACATATCCTTTCCATCAGGGATACTGCTAAGGCACTTCCCTGTCCATATGGCCTTATTCTGCTCCAGGTGGAAAACTGCACTTCTCATTACTGTGCTTCACGAAGTCTCTCTTTCCCTTACCCTCAGGTTTACCAAGGTCCCACTGGATTGAATCTCTGCCACTTGTGATGTTCATTCCCCATAGATGAGTGTTATCTGCTAAAGGTGCAAAAGGTGTCATCACTCAGGGTACTGATAGATTTTGAAAGGTAAGGGCCTCATTGTGGACCACAGGGGTACTGTTCTCATTAAGTTGCCAGCTAGCTGCTATTTAGCTGCTGATTTCTACCCCTTGAATAGTCCAGATAGTTTTCAAATGTCACAGCAACCCATTCATCCACCCCATACATCCTCAGCTCCCAAATGAGACACCTGCAAGATAAACTAGGAAAATCCTTACACCTTTATACAGAGCCTAAAGTTGTTTAGCTTGATATTTCACAAGGTTTATTGCTTCCACCATTGTCTCCTCATTCACACACTTATTTCAGCTAAAGTAAAGTTTCCAGTTCATGAGATAAATGGCACTAAGAAAAAAACATGGGTGGGGTGTGCAGAGTGGGGTGGCCTAATGGGATACAGACTAGAAGCCTTGAGATGCCTCCACTTTCCCACTTGACGTGTGCTGCCTTGCTAAGATGTGACTTCTTGCTCCTGGTCCTGCAGACAGTCACTGTATACTGGGGCCATGTCTTAAGGAGTGGCAGAGAGTGAGGCAGCTGCCTGGTCTTCATCCCGAAGGATCTATTTTCAGCACACTCGAATCCTCCCTCTTCCATGGGAATGTCAGCACTGCTGAACCTTGCCCACGCTGCACCGCTGTCCAGGACAGCCTGTATCCAGGGTCTGCTTCACTCTGTCTCTTCTCTTTCAACTCTGTTGTGCTTTAGATTCAGCTGCAGCGGAGACCAACCCTGCAGAGGTTGAAACATAGTCAGAAAGCTAACAGAGGCAAGATCCATTTCCTTTCCCATTTTCCATTAAGGTATTGTTGCTTCTTCCAGCAGGTCCTTCCTTCTCCTGGGACAGCTATTTCTGTGACTGTTTCAAACCTTTCTACAGGAGCACTACAGCTACACTAGTAAATTAAACATGTCCAGGAACTTAGGCCAACTGGCATGGGACTGCTTATGCTTATAGGAGTAAACTATTTCTGTTTCGAGCATGGTGAGGCTGGATGCAGGCTGTATTGGGACTTGTCCCAGAAAATGCCAGCTGTCCAGTTATGTCTTTGAATCTGCTTAGGAGTTGTGTAGCTGGCACAGGCCAAAAGCTTGACAAGGACTCTGCTAATACTTTATCAGTATAAGTAATTGGCTTCCTGTATGGGCAGATGTTCCTTTGGATAGCGAATTGTACTAGCAAAGACTTAGCACAAGATGGAGCTTTCTCCAATGTAATTCACCAATGTCTGTGAACTTAGAGCAGATAAATAAAATTGAGGACTTTAGATTATAGAGGTCTTTGCAAGAAGCTTACAGGCCAACATGTCAGGAAATATAAATTAATCACTGCTGGGAGAAAGATCAACTTTGTGGAAGAAAATAAAGGTGCCACAAAGGATGAGTAGCTCAAATCCCTTCAGGGTGTGTTCATGAGAGTGGCTAAGTGACTGAACATGAGATTGAATTGAATGTTTTGCTTCTTACAGAACACTCTAGAATAGGCTGCCTACAAACTTTCCTTGATTTCACCAGCCCTTTTCAATTGCAGGAAATTAAAGTGCTTGCTATCTGTATTGATAGTTTCAGTGACATGGAAGCGCTGGATATCCAGTTTTTTTCCATGATGTTCCTCTGGTGCTCATCTCCATCTTTGACCTCTATAAATGTAGTACACATTGCTTGTCCACTTTGCCTTGAAAACCTCAGTCTAAAGTTTAGTTTATTTTCCTTGGTAATAATCATTGGGATTACTCTTTCTTTCAATGAACAAAGTGTTTTACAGCTGATCACTAAAATATCAAGTAAATAAATATCCCTTTTTATATATTCTTATTCAGGTGAAGGTATAAACAAGTAGCAAAATAAAAAATACAGATTTTAACATGTTTCTTTTTCTCACATTGTCAATCTAATGTCAGCAAGGGGATTCCTCTAGAACAGCAAATGAACTGAGATGTCACTGAGATGGGGCTGTCAGCTCTGATCTGTGAGGCAAAGATGACCAGATTTGCAAGGAATGATGGAAGTTGTCCGAAACAACTAAGACATTCAAATATCTTTTTATGTTGAGAGTTTTTCTAGTAATATGCGATGTAATTATATGGTAGCAAAAAAATCTCGCAGCAATGAGATTTTCCTCTAGTATGCTTGAAGTGAATGGATATAAATGCTGCCTGCCCATGCCTTTTCAGTCTTCCTGGTCTGATGGAGCTAATAAGAACCTGATGATGTCTGGAATCCTGACTTTGGCATCAGTGTCAACAAAACAACATTTAGCAAGATAAATGTGGACCAGTGAATTTAGTTTTGCATTCCAGCTATGTAATTAGACTGTTTCTTTGTTTTGACATTAAAAACATCACTATTTAAATCTCATGTTATAATTAAGTACTTGTAGCTTATAGGGAGCCAGAGTTTGTTTGGTCCTTCAGTTCATCGGATAGTTGAGAGTTTCTTCCAAGACATGAGGCTGATTTCCTGTCAATCCCTTAGCTAAGTTGTCTCTAAATTATCGCCTGTTTTTTGGAAGAAACGTAGCTTCCCATTCCTGACAAGATACTGAATACATTGCAGGAGGATGTTTGCAGCATTGCCTTCTGAGACGGCACAGTTTCTTTCATATGATACATCACTGGGAGATATGGCTTTCCTTGCTATTTAAGTGGACAGAAGGTGCAGTTATCAGAACATCATTAAGATACTTTTAGTTGCACTGAATTTTCTCTTTGAACTATAGCACTGGCATAATTGACTCAAATATAAGACCACATTTTTCAACACACATAGTACTGCCCCAGGTATACCTGAGTGAGCAAAAATTATCTGCTACTGAGTAGGATCAGAGTTAGGTCAAGGATAAAAATATTGGAGAATTTCAGTTCTATTAATGTATCCTGCTGTGACTGTCTCCATTACCTTGGATTCTAGATCTTGTAAAGCAGATACCGATGCACCACAAACTTTTGCCATGATAGTTCAACATGGTGTTATTTCCCTCAGAAACTATGCTTGATCATAGAATGAGATGTGAGAGGGACAATGAGAAGGGTTCAGTTATATATCACCCTGGGAATGGGGGCAAAGTGCAGGGTACATTAATATCAGAGAGGGGACATAAGAAGGAATTAATTTCTCCAGCCATCCTGTGCTGAGCTTCCATTAAATCCTGGCAGCAGTTGGAATCAGCTACTTCTTTTCTCAGCTGTTGCTGTAACATGAAAAGAGGCTCGAAAGGCTCCCTTCAAGGTCATACTGAGAAGATAGGTCAGTGCTGCCCTAAACCATGTGGCTACTGGAAAAGGCAGAGGGACAGTTTCTTTTATGAGAAGATTTCATTTTTTAGGTGAGCTCAGTACATAGGCATTTTCTTCAGCTTTCCTGGCAGAGCACAGATTATTATATTCTTCCCCCTACACACTGAAAATTAACTGAATTTGACATTGTGCCTGAGTGCACATACACATCTTCAAGTTTAAATTGCTATTGCTCTGTTCAAATTCATTTTAATCAATGTGTAGACATTGTGTGAGGCTCCATAAGCTAACCAAAACTTATTCATCATTTTGTAATTTGAACTTTTTCATTGTCTTTTGACAATATAAGACAACCACAGGGGGGAAACTGCCTGTAGTTTGAATTTGATAACACAATTCAGCAAAAAGATAGTTCTGTAAAGTAGACTTTTAAGTAAAGATGAAGACTGGAAAAAAAAATCCAGATAGAGTATTTGAAAAGATAGAAAAAGCACTCTGTTTATAACAATACAGGTGGTCACCTGAGTTTAGGACTGTGAAATACATTGGAAAACAGCATGTTGCTCATGCACAAAAAGTTTTTAAAGCAACGTGACAGTTAAGACCTGAATATCCCTATATGCTTACATATGGATATTGTAGGACTGTGGGAAATAAAATCTGATGATAAAATATTTTCACTTTTTTTCAGAATTTGTATTAATATTGTTTCAATTATCTTCCCTGATATTAATGATATACCACACTGAAATGTACAGAAAACTAGAATTTTTCCTTATGTAAAATTGGGAATTGGGCCTTTCATGTACCTTTAATGCAATACCCTCACAAAATACAGCTCTGGAATAATGCAGAGGGTACAGTTATATCTTCCTGGGAACACTGATCAAACCTACTTGAACTTCAACAGTTCTTTACAGCTAAACAAAATGTCATCTGACTACTGAGAGGATATTAGGGAGCAAGGAAGGAATTCTTCTTTCCCATAGCCTGAGAAGCTAACCTGGGCTTGGAACCAATTCCACAGAAGGCTTCTGGTTTCTAAACCCTTTTGTGAACAGACCTGCTTTGAAGTTTGCCATTCTAAAAGCACTGCTAAGTGACTGCCAACAAACCAGCTACTTCCCTTCCAAGCTAGACCTCCCCTCTGCTGACTACATGCCCAGAGCTGCCTGGCCATGTGCCTTACTCCTGCCTGTTACACACCTGGGTCCACAGACTAGACAAAACCCCAACAAAACCTCAGAATAGCTTTACTGAGAAGACAGGCTTTGTCACTGGCCACTGGGAATTCAAAGATTTTCAGCCCCCAAAAGTCACATTCAGCTGGACTCTCCGTATAGCTCCTGGAGCTCGAGGAACATCCTGATGGCATTTTGTCCCAGTCTTGTAGTGCTGCATTAAGACAGGCTTGCTATGTACTCCCGAGAGCAGGACCTCAAGGAAAAGCAATGCAGCTGCTCAGGGAAGAACTTGGGGATACTAGTAGACATAAGCCATTAATGTGTGCTTGAAACCCAGAAATCCAATTGGATCCTGGGCTGCTTCAAAAGAAGTGTGAGCAGCAGTTCAAGGGAGGTGATTCTCTCCCTCTACTCTGCTCTTTTAAGACCCTACCTGCAATATTCCCATTAGCTCTGGGATCCCCACCACAAAAAAAGATGTGGACCTGCTAGAGTCAAGCCAGAGGAGTGCCACAAAAATGACCTGAGAGCTGGAACATCTCTCCTATGAAGAAGGTTGGGTTGTTCAACCTAGAGTTGAGAAAGGTTTGAGGAAACCTTTTTGTCACCTTGCAATACTTACAGGGGGCTTATAAGAAAGATGGAGAAAGGCATTTTATCAATGCCTGTGGTGACAGGGCAAGAAGCAATAGTTTTAAACTGAAAAACGGTATATCCTGAGTAGATATAATGAAGAAATATTTTACTATGAGTGTGGTGAGGCACTGGAACATATTTCCCAGAGAAATGACAGATGCCCCACCATTGGAAGCATTCAAGGTCAAATTGGATGGAGCTTTTAGCAATCTAATCTAGCAAAAGATATCTTTGCCCACAGCAGGTGTGTGGGACTAGATGATGTTTGAAGGGCCCTTCCAATGCAAGTCGTTTTATTGTTCTACTTAATACTTAACCTATTGCTCCTGGAGGAAGCTGCCTTTACAGTTCAGATATTACAGCTTCCATGGGAATAGGAGACCAGAGCTCCCTTTCTAACCTGATGGGAGAAAATCCTCAGCTCTCACATCCTGGGAGAGGTCTTAGACATCCTTGCTCCTCCCATGGTCTTCTTAACCCTATTCTCTGATCTGCCAAGGCCCTCCTGTCCCCTTCTTGGCCAGGACCAATAAGCTACTGGGCTGATAGACACCACGTAACACCCCAGTGCCTCAGTTTGGAACAGGTTTGGGTTCCAGGCTGAGGCCCAGCCACACAAAACGTGGGTGCTGCAATGTCAGAGCCCTTCTTGGAGCAAGCTCTTAATGCGCAGGGTAGCACCTGATGCTGGACCCTTGTATACTAGGCATCATTTTTCCAACTTTGTCCCTGTGCCCTTGACCTCTTTCAATAACCAAAATGGCAATGACCAGAAGAAGAGTGTGTTTAGATCTGACAGCATTTAAAGCAGCTCGAATAACAGCACCCTTTCCCTAAAACCAGATGAGTCATTCCCCAGGACTATCAGCAAATCCCCCTTTCTCAGCGTATCAGGGCTGTCCTCCACCTATACCTATTGCTCTGATACAGGCAGCAACCTGTTGATAACTTTTGTTGCAGGAACTGTATAAATATGTGAATGTGCAAGATAGCGGTTTTTGCAAGTTTTGCATAGGAAGGACTGAAGGGGTCTTAGCCTTCATCCTGGTTAGTGAATTTGGCAGTGGGAGCAAGCATACGGGAGACAGGCTTCAGATGAGACTGTGGGGTTTTCATGTTAGAGGAATCGGAAAGAAGTGCTGTGTATTTATGTATACACAGTCTCTTTATCTAGGTTGTCTTCTGGATGTGTGAGCCAAGCTGTGGAATGATGGAAGGGCTCTGTAATTCTGCAGGAGCAGACATTTCAGTAGGAATGGAAAAAAAACCCTTGGTTTATTTAAAGACTACCAACTCTTTGTTGAAAAGGGGAATGAATATTCAAATTACATGGATTTTTACAGTCCTAAATCTTTACCTCAGCAATATGCTTTATTTATGGTACAGATTGACAGGTCAGACTTAGAAAAGAAGACATAAGAAATAATTGCTGTCCTTTCCTGAATTACCAATGTGGCTACTCTCTGATTAATTAAAATACCATTAAGGAAAGAAAGGAGCACCTGTTGTTTAGTTGCACTGACCTAGATAGACAGAAGAAATCACAGAATACCTTATGACATCCCTCTTAGCACGAATTCTTGTACAGGCTTGTAATAACCCTTCTTGGACAATCTCCCATTCAAGTGTACAGATGGACATATGTGCATGAGTGTATGTGCTCTTCTTCATACACCACGAGTGACCTTATATCTCCCTCTAAGACTCCAACCCAGTATTTCAGCTAGTCCCCAGCCTCCTATTGTTGTGACCAAATCTTTGTCTCTTGGCCTTTGTCTCTTGTCTCTTTGTCTCTCTGCATGTCTGTGACTCCCAGGCACCACCAATATCACACTGAATGATCCAGATTCCTCCTCTACTTTCAGAATTTTTACAACACAACTGCCAAATGCTTTTAGTAATACTTATTTCCCTCTTAGTGGCCTGCTTAATGTATTGCTTTCAGGCATTTCTTATAAGCCTCACACCATCACATAGTGTGATTAATGTTGTCATCTCCATTGTACAGCTGGGATAGCTGCAGCACAGACATACCAAGCAATCCACCCTGGGACTGACAGTGGGTCGGTGGGAAAGCCAGCAATAGAATCCATAAGTCTAGTATCCAAGTTCCGTAAGTGCCTTGAAGAGTCCAGATTCCCTCCTTAACACCCTTGTCAAATTATTTATAGGACATGTATTCATATAGTCAGTAAGACAGCAAAAATTTCTAATTATATCTAGTCATGTCAAATGACAATTATGCCCTTAGTTCAGTTTGCCAGACAATGCTTTGCCAAAGAAGGTTTGCCAAAAATGTTTTGACCGAAGAAAGAGTAGGCATCTGTAGCAT